TGGTTATGTATAGGAGAAACGTCTCCTAAAATAAAACTAACACTTACCAATCACACACTGCCCAGACTGACATCAGTAATTGACCTAGGGGTACATTACTCACACAGTCTTAATTTCTCTGAACACATCTCAGCCAAAGCATCCAAAATGCGGAAATTGCTTGGCTTCATTCTCCGTAACTTCTATCAAAATGAATCTAAAATCCTTCTTTATAAAGTTTGTGAAAGACCTATCGTTGAATACTGCTCGTTCTTATTTTCCAACCTACGCCCATCGGATAAACTAAAGGTGAAAGGAACAAAACGAGACTTCACCCGCAAAATACTTAAGACTGACTCAGTCACTGACTACAGTTCCCGATGCCAAATCTTAAGAATAGTACCCCTTAGGGAGAGAAGGCTTAGGTCTAGTTTGATTCTGTACTTCAAACTACTCAAAAACCCTGCTTACTCAAAATGTAAGATAATTCTTGCCCAAGATTTGCATGAATATGAACTTCGAAACAAAGTATCTACCGTCAAAGTTGAGAAATACAGATCAAAAACTCGGGAAAACTTCTTCCTCACCAAGTATGCAATAATATGGAACAGTCTTCCCTCCGAAATACGCATAGCAGACGAATTACTTACGTTTGTAAAACTGTTTGATTAAGCCCTGACTCGCACTGATCTAGCACGTAAGGACAGATCTGCGCCCCACTCAGAAATCATAGGCTCTCTTCGAGTCTAGACCAAAATGGACTTGAAGTTCAGTTTGCCTTATTTTTCCTACTTTTCAGTTGTATTAGTTACATTTTCCACCCTATTTCTTCACTTGTAGTAGACAGGTAACTCACCGGACCTATTGATACTGTTCAACTAAACTCGGTCGCTAAGGGACACTTATCACCACCCTAAAAGGTCAAGAGAACCTCACAGTCGACTGCCTACTACCAGTGGTCTTGCATCCATGTAGCCTGTTACCCATCAACTGTTTATGAAAACACAAAATAACATCAGCATCAAGTTAATGTGACTTTCTTCCTGTTAATTCTTTATGAACTTTTTACTCTTCTGTACATTATGTTGACTAGCAATTAATATTATTTCTCCACTTGTTAACTTATCAACAACTCGTATACTTGTGTACTTCTCCCGATTTAATAAACAACTATCCTACATTATAACCTTCTTAATGTTTATACTCTGATTGATAAACTATACTTTATACTATAGTCAACAGAAGCACTGGATCGATGCCTTATCCATTGTCCATAACTTGTGACTACCTGATAAGCTTGTAAAATGGTACTTATAGAAATAGCGTTTTACAACAAGATGTGAGACACATAGGATTATGTGAGGTATGACATATATCCAAAAATAAGCTTAAATGAGCCTAACATCGCAAAAGGAGGGAGGTTGGAGTTACTGACCAAAAAAGCATTGATGGTGAGGGCGATGACTTCAATCCACCCATGTTTGTGGAACAGGACATTTTGTATGTATCAGGCTCTTTATGATTGAGAATAAGTCAATCAATCTGTGATATGGATTGTCTTCCTACGCTCGCCACTCAGACTCGTGCTTCCAAATTTATGCTGAATTAGCTATTCTACTAAGAAAACCTGTAACATACTAACTCAGACTTTTACACTAGGATTGTGTGGCTGGCATCGGATGGACAAAAAAGGAAAAGAAAGAAAAATTTAGACAATAAAAGATATAGTCATTGGTATTCTTAATACTTCACCCTCTATACGCACACCCCTTCTAACAAACCGCTTTTCTTGTACCAACCTTGACTTCCCTTCCTTCATGTGAGCTTACACCAACTTGTTAAACATCACAACTCATTATTCTTTATTACTACATTCGCTTATATGGAACCTCTGACTTCATTTCACTCCAACAAGAGATAATATGAATTTAATCTAATTTATTATACTTCTGTCTGTTCTACTAAAAAATGTTAAGCAAAGTTTAGCATTCATATCCAAGTGCCTTGCTGTTCTTCTGTTTCTCTTTTTTTCTTCAGAATCTTGCTCTGAGGACACAGCTATGGAACTTCTGACGTCTGGAACAAAATTAATGTATCTGTCTCATAAAGGTCATGGTTTACAGAAAGCGCTCTAAGAGTCTAATTTATAGCAACTATAGCCTTAATAAGTTGGGAAGCATGCTGATCGCCAACAAATGTTGTAATTTACAGAACATGCCTGTAAAAATAGTGATCATGCACAAATATAATTATAATTACTTAATTAAGCTGGGTTTCGGCATTAAAGCGATTGTAATGTCACAATGAAAGACTCTACTCTAACTCGCAACCTTAACTACTAACCATGCTTCTCAATCCTAATTCCTCGTAATAATTCATGACTTTCTTTTGACCTAAGTAAGTAGGTGAATCATCTCAAAGTCATTTATTTTGTGCCATAAGACAAGCGAGCTTGCCTGAATGAATACATTGACTTCGGTAGAAGCCACAAAATCAGAGAAAACAAAGCTGATCCAAAGAAAATTTGCGCTCAGCATTGTCGGTAGACAATAGAGCCACAGTCCTCAATTGAAACAACTCGGGACCTACTAAGAAATTTACTTCAACCCGCATGACTTGGACTACACGAAGGGGTACGAGAAACACCCTACCGTGGTTCAGTAGGGAGATTCGCATCCTTCTCCATCAGAGAAGAAAAATGTGGGACAGATTTAGGTTACTGGGAACTGATGAGACAAAATGTCAATATCCAGAAGCTCGAAATACTTGTGCCTCGGACCTACGTAACTCTAGAAGGTCGCACGAAGAGAAAATTGTCAAGGAATCCATAGAATGTCCTAAACGCTTGTATTCGTATATAAACCAAAGGACAAATGTAGGGGCAATATTCCAGCGCTACGAAGAGACAGTACTGCTTTATCATTAGTGGAGGACGAGTTTGGCAAAGCTCAAGTATTCCCAAACTACTTCAGCAATGTATATACCAAAGAAACACCCTTCCCGTCAGTCCATACAAATCCCTCACACCATCACTGAACAGCGTGGCCATAAAATAACTCGATGTCTTTGGTCTGGTAAATAAGTTGGACATGGGCAAATCTACGGGGCTCGATGAGCTGCATCGTAGTTTATCAAAAGAAATGGCCAACTTCTTTGCAAATCCCTTAAGTTTGTGTTTTGATCTATCCGTAACTCAGTGTCGTTTACCAAAAGACTGGAAGAACGCCATAGTAAGTCCTGTCTTCGAAACAGGTACGAAACATAAACCTGAGAACTACCGACCCGTTAGCCTAATCAGTGTAGATTTCAAAATTTTAGAAAAGATTTTTCGGAAGCAGCTGTTTACGTACCTCGATGAAAACGGGGTGATTTCGGAAAAGCAGGATGGCTTTAGAATAGGTCATTCCTGTCTCACCAACTTAGCAGTGGCTTGTGAAACCTGGTGCGCTCTTAAGGACCAAAAGTTACATGTAGACGTGGCCTACTTTGACTTCAGCAAAGCTTTTGAAAAAGTTCCGAACAACCGGCTGTTATATAAGTTAAGAAGTGTCGAGGTTTCAAGCAGTCTTGATGTGGGTAAAATACTTCCTAGTTGAGCGCCAGCAAAGAGTACGAGTGAACTCCAAGTTGTCTAACTAGGAAACTGTGCTTAGCAGAGTGCCTCAGGGTACAGTTTTGGGGTCAGTGTTATTCCTGTTGTAAGTAAATGACATTCCTCGTCTACTATCATCATCTGTCTTGCTATAGGCTGATGATGTCAAGATGTGGGGAGCGATACGAAGTAAGGGTGATAGCTTACAACTCCAAAATGACCTGGTCTCAAACCTGGCAGTTGCCGATAAATACTTACAAGTTCGTTGTGATGCATATCGGTCATGAAGGTATAGATACATACACGATGAATAACACTCGGCTACCTGTTGTCCAGACACACAATGACCTAAAAGTAATTGTTAGCCAAGACTTAAAGATCGCTGCACACTACCGTGCAATAGCCGTCAAAGGCTTTAGAACCCTGAAGATGGCACAGGTATTCAGTGTTTGACAACGCTTTTACCAGTAACACCTCTTATAACTCATACCTACCAAGAGAAATCAAAAGACAGAACCGAGGAGATCATAAGTTGTATTTGACGATTGCCAATATATCGGAATTGTCTGATCTAGTCTGGCTAGCGATTGCAGTAGATGTTGAGCACGGCGTTCCCACACGTGATCTGGTACGGATGCATGACCGAGCGCCTTCAGCTAGGTGAGTCCACCAAAACTAATCTGGTCAGCATCCAATGTCGAAAACTTACAGAGCTATTTATTTTGGGGATTTATTTACCGCTACAACCCTATGGTCAATACGTAGGGCCTTCAGTCATGTTGATGCCAAAACGTTTTTTGACTTTGTATACAGCATTCATGGGTCCTGAACATGAGTACTACATACAAGCGGCTAGCATCCGCTTAAAAATGGACAGTGAGCTTTTGGAAAGGGTTCAATGAAGTGCAACTCAGATTATTTCCGGAATAGCGAGGCCCCCGTATGACGCTCTATGGTCTAAGCTAAGCCTATTCCCCGTGTCTTATCGAAGAACTAGAGGGGACTTGATTACAGCTGTCAAATTACTTAGTGATGAATTTGTACCTGATATGCCCTCACTTTTTGTCTTCCAAAACAGAGGATTTACGAGGACACTCCAAAAATCTTCATAAGCCCAGAACAAATTACTTGTCAGCTGACTGTCAACGTTCCCATCGAATCATCAACGAGTGGAATTCATTACCTCAGCGCGTAGTTGAGGCTCCATCCGTCGACTTTTTCAAAAGAAAGTTGGACCAACTGAGATACTATCATTGCCATGACTGACAGAGGCCATCAAGCCTCTTGTCCCTTCCAAACTGACATTGAAACCCTCTAGTCCTTTCGTAACTGAAACTGAAACTGATGGTCGCTCGACGATGTGAATATTATATCGTGACCTTCAGAGGATTTCAAGCATCTGAAAAAACTACTTAGGTGTTCACACACGATGAAAGTTATCAATAAATTAAATGTATTGAAGAAAGTTTACAGAGAGTATCGTATGGTTACTGCTGCAGATGATTGTGAGCCTTACGAAAAACTACTTATTAGTATCCTTTGAAAATGAAATAGTACATTATGTCACTATTTCCATTAAAATCGCAGTTGTCACGTCAATATGCAAGCTTTTGCCATTTCTTTATCACGTTGTTTCTTCTAAAAGTTTGCTAGTATTGTCCTCTCGATTGTATATTTGCTAGTATACAATTTCATTGTTCAATCTCATTTATAGATTATGAAATTAATTTTATAATCATCGATAAACTCAAAAAGTCATTCAAATACTTTTTTTGTACAAGTTATTGATCAGTAATTCTGTATTAAACTGATTTGTCGTAGTTTCACCTAGGTTTTTAAATAATTTTTCAAGAATTATTGTTTGAATATAGTTTAGGTTATGTGGATTGTATTTTTAATCCACATAATATACTTCTTTGTGTTGTGTTAATAGTTTGTTGTTTAGTGTGTACATCTCTGATTGAACTGACTGGTATGTTAACGGCCTGAAAATATACAGGTATGAAATGTTGTTGAGGTTATACAACCTCCCACGTATAGGCATACAAACTACACCACACTGACTATATTTTATTGACGGTTAGATCTAATATTTAGAGGGTATCACTGTAGACTTTGTCTGGTGCTTTCTTCATTCCACACATCATTGTATGTCGCCTCATTTATCTCTGTGTATTTGTGCTCGAAAATAAATTGCTAATACAACTTGAACACTACTGGTATATATATATATATATATATATATACAATACTTCGTGGCTCAGTTTCTGATACGCATAATCTGAAGTAACCTTACACGGGGTGCTGCTAAATTTGTTGTTCATTAATAAATAATGTGCGAAGTACCACTGGTTTTTTAATGGAAATTTTTTAGCTTAAATTCACCATAGCGTGTAGTGTTTTGAACTTTGTTTGAGTAGGATAATCGGTAACACAATTCAGTATTCGGTTAATATTTAAGGGTTTACTCAAAAGAGGACTTTCACTGCGATCGATAGTTTATTTTTTCTTGTGGGAAGATTAGAACTTGGATTTAGTGTACGCACGTCAAAAAACTCGGTCAACAGAACCTTATTTTGACACATACACAACTAGAATTTGCTCTGTCAATACATATTTCCAACGAAAAAACAATGACTAACGTGAATTGATCTTTAAACTGTGACTGTGGAACAACCACTACAAGCGTTTTTATCATTGTTGCGGTGTATTTCGAACCGTATGGCTCCGAAAACGTCACATGGAGAAACCTATCTAAATCTTAATCATCTTTCTTTTTTCTGACCACCTAAAGGTGTTCATCGTGATGATGTCATAGGTATTCAGTGTTTGACATCGCTTTTACCGCTACAACCGAGCTAAATGAACGAACTTCTATTTTACAGCAGAGGTTTGTAAGTGCCAGCACAATATTCCTTAAGTTTGGTTCATGTAAGTCCTGGTATGTTCAGCAATAATCTATCATTTTTCCACTTTTATAAGTAGACGTTCTAATTTTCCAAGGAGGATTAGTATATATACGTAATTGTCCGACTGAAGAAGTGATGTGCCCTCTTAATGATATTACGCACTCAATCACAGAAAGGTAAATTCTGACTCCCTATTTTTTTTCAGGCACGGTTTATTTTACCAGCATTGTATCTCATTCCTAGGACGATTACTGCGAATTTTCCTTACAGTGAATTTTACTTGTTTTAGATACATGCATGATGTTGATATTGTGCAGTCTGTTTTATATGGCATTTCTTTTAATACCTGGAAATGTGATAATACTGTATCAGTTTTTGTTCGACTGTTTTAAATAAGAACAAAAGCGGCTTTGGAATATATTGTTCTGCTTTATTCTTAGTAATTTATATCCATATTATTGTTAAGATGAATACATCAGTTATTTTTATTATTTTTTGAATATTTGCATAAATATAAAACTTTCTAAATCACTTCGTATGGTTTATTTTACGATCTTTCGTGAAGAAGGCCACAGATTATTTATACCAGTTGACAAATTATAGTTATCTGTAAAGTTGTATAAAGGGCTCATTATTTAGCATCAACTATAATCTTCATAAATAAACAGTTCCATAAACATCTGAACCATGACTGCCTTTTATTTTAACTTCTCCTTGGAAATTCTCTTCGTCAAAAATAAAGTGTTCTGTGCTTTTTTGGCAGAGTGAAGTGAAATACAGTTTCGAAAACTATTTAGTAGTGTAGTTTTCATCATTAGTTATCTAAACAATCTGTTTAATTCGAAACACGTCGGTTGCATATTTTTCATATAAATTAAATATCTCTTCCTCAAAACTGTTCTCGATCGGTTCTCATATGATCCTGACCTCTAAGATCTCGTCAAATTGAACTTAGAGCTTCTTCTTCCAGATAAGTGCTTGCTCATCCATTATACGCTAATTTAGCGGTGTATCTGCTTTATTACAGGATCGACATTAACATTATCATCAAACTCCATAATATGGACAAAACAAACGACGTGGTCAAAAAATATTTTGTTCAATTGTTTAAAAATAAGGAATCATTTAGTAATGGTTCAAACTTGCCACCGAACACACTACTTTCGTATGTTTAGTAGGTGGCTATTACAACGGTATTTTGTATACTTATTACAGTAGTATCACTGATAACCTATTTTTGCCTTAAGTAAAATCTTATGAAGTTGGACCATTATATATTTCATTTAAAATAAACTAACCACCTGAACTAAAATATTATTTCATTTACCAGTTTAAGTGGTACAATGGAAACACTCCATAAGTGCATGTCAACCCTGAAATACAATTAAGAAATATTACTGTATATCTAAACGTTGTTTAATTGTTCTTTGTACACTTGAGTTTTTTAAACAGTGTGATGTAGGTTGTATTTTAATCATATATGGCAGTTCTCATGATAAATATCTTCAAGAAACTATTTTACTAAAGTCAGGATCTAGAAAAGCCTTCGGTTGTTCGTAATTTGATGACTGCACTTTTGAGTAAGACACATTTGCACTTAGAGGTAAGTGATAAATCTTTCCGCTTTTTAATTCCTAAATTTAAGTTAAAGTTTCCATTCTTTCTATCAGATTTTCATGATTGCACCAAACAGAACTGATATGGGTGGCAAGCAATAACTTGGGGTGGAATTACTTATCTAAACCTGTTAGTACTTTTGAATTTTCCTTCAGGTTGTTCCCAAGTGCTATGTACTATCTTGATGTCTGTCTCCTATCCCCTACGCCGTGTGTCCTATGGTTTGCCACCCTTTCTTTTGCCTTGACGATTCCAAGTTATAGCTTGCCTCACGATGCATTTAAGCAATTTCCGTAAAGTGTGTTCAATTTGCCTCTTTTGTCTTTTCCTAATCTCCTCAACTAGAAGCAGATGTTTTTGGCAGAGCACATTATTGCTGATGGTCCCTGTCAATTAATTTGAGACATTATGTAGACAGCTGTTTGTAAAAACTTGCACTTTTTCGATTATGGTTGTGGTAGGTTTTCAAGTTTCAGCTCCGTACGATAGATCCGCTTTAGTGTCAGTTTTAAAATGATTGTCACCCAATACCACAGTCAGAATATTCGAACTTCAGATAATTCACGGTTGTGGCAATATTCCCTTTTCTTTTCCAAGTCTTGTCTTTAAATCTGTTTCAGATCTTTCTTGTTTGCCCATGATACTGCCAAAGGACATACAGGATTTCACTCTATTCAGAGCTTCCTCATCGTGTACAGTGTGACTGGTGCTCCGTGTGTTGTTATATAGGATTTTGTTTTTCCTTTATAAATGTCGAGAGCTATTTCTGAAGAAGACGCCGCTACATCGGCCATCTTCGTCGGCATTTGTCTTTATATATGGAATAAAAGGGCCAGTTACAATTTATCCAGCTGCATCCAAGTTGTTCAATGTATTTTGTGCATTTGAAATGTGGGTCCTCATGATCCAGTCAACAACCAGTGGAAAGGAAAAAGACGAGAGTAGGTAGCCTTTTCTTACATCAGTCTTCAATTAGAATGCGTTCGTTGGTGCGGGCCTATTTACGAGTCTTTCAAAGTGATCTCCCCACTTCTTTTGTTGTTCTTAATCCTCAGTGGTCAATTTTCTTTGTTTCTTCCTGACTAGCCGCTTTGGTTTACTATATTTTCTGCCAGCCTCTTTGTTGTATCATATAGTTGTCCTAAATGTTCTCTTTCAGCTTTTTCTACTGTAGTTCCCAAGCCATCTACATATTTTCGCTCGGAACCTCGAAAGCTCTTCATTCATTTGTTTGCTCCTACCTTGGCTTTATGTGCTTTCATCTGGCTGTTGTTGACTGTTTCCTTTTTATTTTTCTTTCCTTGCATATTATCTAGGATGTTTACAGAGACCTTATATTTATTCAAACAGTGCTATAGCTTAGAAGAAACTTTGGTTTAGAGATCTTTCTGCTTCGTTCCCGACTAACCTGACGCGCTTGTTTTTTATTCAACCACCCCTTATCAGTTTACAATCACTCCCAACCGCTTAGTAAAAGCAAAAAACAGTACACCTTATTGTAGTGATGGTCAAAATGAAGAATAGTTGAGACCGTTTGTTCAACGTAGGCGGAAACACCGTTTAGGAATCTATTACCGTTAACGGTTGATCTTCTTTTATTTCTAACATCTAAAAGACGTATAAGAAACTAAAAATTCAGTATATGCGTGAAAATCCTTCTAAAAATGACAAATATCAATAATAAGGACGTGTATTTTCGTAGCAACAGAACTGGCCTAGTAGATCTTAAGTTTTATAAATTAATTGAAAAACATTAGCATTTGAATCTGAATATTCCTACTGGTTAATGTTAACTTCAAATATTTGGGGAAATGTACATATGGATAATTCTGTGGTTATTGCTTGGATTCGTTGTAAATACTCTTTGATTTTACTTTTGATATATGTGAAGGTAAATATCAAAAGGCACCAATATGAATTTCCTAATTAACGTACATTTTGTAAAGACAATTTACTTACTTTCTGTTGCCTGAAATATTCATTGGAAGAAAAATGTTGCTTAGTGTGGTAGAATAAAAAAAATCAGTGATTATGTTAAATAATGTTTGGGTGATTATTTGTCTTTTTTTATCTTGACATTTCCGTATAAATGCAGAATATTTGAGTGAATTAGCATATATATACTCACCTCCTAGCAAAATAAAAAAGAAAGCCTGTTTTTTATTGTTAAGAATGATTATTACTTCCAAGTTATTCGGGAGAATTAATGCCATCATAGACGTATTTCGAAAGAGAAAACTTAGAAACAGTCTTTGTCACCACCAACAGATAATAAAATCAGATAGACTTGTGATATTGTTTAATTTTGCTTTCGAAAATTTTCTTATTTACACCAGTATGTTTATCTTTTGATCATCATTATCTACCAGTTAGCTGAAAATTGTTTTAGAGCTAGATATAATCACATGTGCTACATTTTAGCTTACTTCTAATCATTAAGATGCCTTTGTTGTTTGGATCATGACCAAACAAGTCAAATTTAATAGATATGAACATACCAACTCTTATAATTTTCAAAAATTCTAAATAGTTTAAACCAGACATTACATAAATAATTGAATAGTTCTACGCAGTTTTCATATCTTCTGGTCGGCTAACAGACTCCAAAAACAACATTTTCGGTTGATTTGTTCTAATTTACTATTCCAAATCCAGAACGGTTGTAAGAGATTCATATTTAATTGAGAGAGAATATGTTTTGTTGTATGGTCTCAAAAAAAGTGAACTTGGGAAATCGAGTCACTTCAGTATTTTTTTACAGGCGGAATTGAAAGTAAATTGATTCAAAAGAACTGATAGATATTTTTATTCCATCTAAAGCATAAATATTTAGTAAGGCAAGAGCATTCAAGATTTAGATGGAGCTCTGTTCTCTGAGCTGGATGGTTTGGTCGTGGAGCTTTCATCGTTCTTCTGAACGACATCATCAGCACAAACTTCAGATAGAAGTGAAGTGTACGAATTTCTCCATATGCGTTTCACAGCTTGCTTTATGCACCTCGACGTTGATTGGTTCTTATTGGCCTTAAATTTGTCGTTGTTTACTTCTTTGTTTTGGTTGTGCCTCCCATTGGTTTGATTTTTGTTCCTATATTTATGCATAATTTTCCTGATTGGTTGATAAATTGGATCGATTTCAATGTCTTTGTTGATTGACCTGAGTGCCAGGCTTCTCAAAATTCTCTGGTGTTTTTGGAATTTCCTCTGTCCAAGATTTACACATTTTTCCAATCGAATGAGTGTCCACAGTTGTCCACGTGTATTGATAAGTTAGGAAGTATCGTGGCGTTTGACCGTTAATTGATGTACATGTAGGCGAAGGGGGCGTTCGCTCTGTCCGATGTAGTGTTTTTCGCAGTTCGCACAATTTATTTTGTATATGATGTTTGATTTGTCTTCCTTTGTTATTTCATCCCTTGGTTTGCATAGGATTGATTGTAGTGATTTTGTCGGTTTGTGTGCCACACCTATCCCGAAGGTTTTCAGCAGTCTCGTTGAGGTTTCTGATATGCCTTTTATTTATGGTAGGGCGATCCCTTTGTTGATTTCTGTCCTTGACTTAGGTTCTGATTCTGCGTGCGGTTGGTATTTTTTGATGAAGTTGATTGGGTAGCCGTTCTTCTGAAATATGTCCTTCTGGTATTTCTCTTCATTTTTTCGTGCTTCCAGTGTGCTGCAGTGTGTCCTCGCCCTTTTGAACAAAGTGTGTACGCGGTTGATTTTGTGAGCTCTTGGGTTGTTGCTATTGTAGTTGAGGATTTGATCTGTATTGGTCGGTT